AATACATAGATGATATCTGATTTTATTTTGTTAAGCTCAGTTTTCTGGAAAATGGATATTATTTGTGTGCTTGCCGCAAAATTACCCAATTTATTCTAGTTCATTTACATACATAGTTATATCTCGCGCGAAGAATTTATTTGACGTTTTATGAAGTTACATTTTTGTTTTGATTTTAACTAGCATTTATAATAAGAACTTGTTGATGGAGCTTTACTGGTGGTAGGACCTCTTGTGAGTCCGCACCCTGCCTATTTCTGCCGTGAAGCACTAATGCGTTTCGGTTTGAAGAGTGTGGCAGTCGTTGTAACTATACTGATACCTTAGAACTTATATCTCAAGCTGGGTGGCGCATTTACGTTGTAGATATCTATGGGCTCCAGTAACCACTTAACACCAGTTGGGCTGTGAGCTCGTCCACCCGTTCTAAGCAAAACAAAAAAAAAATCGCTTTAAAAATGTGTCTTTGCCATGAATTTATTTTATAGTGACCGCTCGACATCTTTCGAAGTCTGTAATTCACCTAGTTTACGTTAATTTATTACGGGCTAGTTCAAAAAGAATGAGACCGAATCCGCCGATCCGCTCCGAGCTTCGTTTAGAAAAGTAAGAGGTAATAATACAATGAGTTCGCTCCGATACCCTGATCGAACTTTGCCGTCATGTTTGATGCAGCCTGATGGAACTCAGTCCTCACCACGACACCTATACTTGAGACCCTTAGAACTCGGCGCAAACTCGTGGCGCATTTACGTTGTGGATGTCTATGGGCTCCAGTAATCACTTAACACTAGGTGGGCTGTGAGCTCGTCCAACCATCTAAGCAATAAAAAAAAACCTTCACTTAAGTGTTCGAAGCTATGTGCCCCTTAATTGACTTTACTTATGTGAGAAATTTGGTCTAATTTAGCTTACAAAACTTCATAGAAACAAAAATAGTTTAGCCAGTTAAACAAAAAGGAATTAGCGGAAATGGTGTTTTTTTTTAATTTTCTTAAAACTTCAATTTTTACTTAAGTACTGCATTGTGAAATACTTTTTAAACATTTCACAATCTACTTATATCTCTATATTTAAAAATGAATTGCTGTTCGTTAGTCTCGCTAAAACTCTAGAACGGCTGAACCGATTTGGCTAGTTTTTGTCTTGAATCATTTGTGGAAGTCCTGAGAAGGTTTAAAAGGTAAGATAAATATGAAAATGCTCGGAATTAAATAAAAATAGCTACAAATCCTTTTGTTTGTTTTAAGTTTATTTTATACAAAAGTTTAGGTCTTTTAACACTACGAAGTCTGCCGGGTCAGCTAGTTATTAATAATTTTTTTCATTCATCGAGGTTTAACTTGTTAACTTTCAGATATATTCGGAAAGATCCAACTAAGTTTGCGGAAGTTCGTGAATGTCTTAAACGTTTTCATTGACCGTCGTCCTTGTTAGTTAAGTGGCTTTGTTACTTTACCATCGAAAATCGAATTTGATAAACAAATTCAGATCACGGACAGAGTTCTAGTCTAAATAGGATAGATTGAACCTCAGGGCGTTAGAAACAATTTTAGCATTATCAAGTTTTACGGCCGTCTGGTGTAGTGGTAAGTGACATGGTCACTACACAAGGGGGTCGCGGGTTCGAATCCCGCCAAGGGAAGATATTTGTATGATAAATATAAATATCTCTTCCAGGGTTATGGATGTATATTAAATATATGTATGTGTATATTAAAAATCTTACATTTATATCCGTTATCTGGTACCTGTAACACAAGTTCTTTACGAACTTATCACGGGACCAGTTAACGTGGCGTGATTGTTAGTAAATATTTATTTATTATTATAAAAACAAGAATAAAAAAGTTTTCAGTACCGATATTAAAATTGAAACTTGACAACCCGCAATTATTTAAATTAAAAAAACGCTTTTGTTACAGTTTTGAATAAGCAGACCATCATACACGAAATTCTCATTGAATTATAAAAAGTTCATGTATTTTATAGTAGCTGGCTTCCAGTTTAATTGAGTTTACAATAGGTGCTTTAGAATACCGACTTCATTATCCTTTATGTTATAATATATTCAAGAAGTCTCACAACGTAGAAGGGTGGCTAAATCAAAAATTAACATTAAGTATAAATTAAAATTATATCTGTTTTGCTTATTAAAATATACATCATATTTTTTTACCCCACAGATGAAGCCCTCGTGGCCTAAAGAATAAGATCTCCGGTGTACACGCATCAAACAAATAGACTGTTCCAGGGTTCCATTCGCTTATTCAGGTACCAAACTTTAAAATACCTACTAAATAGGTGTTCATGCACTACAGTTTCGCCGCAGAAATTGGCAGAATGGTATTAAGTCGTGTGGATTGAGGTTACAATAACCGCTGAACATCAAATTAACGTAGTTAGTTTTTCCTTCCGAATTCTATTGAAAATGTCACAGTGGAAAGTTTCACTAGGGTAATCCCGCAAAGAACCAAATTAAGCAACCCTAAATTTTGCTTTGTGAATGAATTCTAAATTTCAAAGACCAGTTTTTTCCCTAGATAGTATAATTGGGAGAAGCTTTCAAATACCGCCCTTTAAAATGTTAATAAAAAGCAATTTGTTTGCGCATAGCTCGATGGTCGACATTTCATTGTTCTATTCATCAAATACTTGAAATAATTGACCCGAAAACGGTCGATTACCATAGTTTCTCGTAAGCCGTGCGGATTAATCGAAATAGATTCTCATGCTTTCACTTCGTGCTAAATATCTCTTACACATTAAACTTACAGAATTGCTAAATTATATTTTATATTTTCATTTAATCTTATTCATTCGGATCCGTTTTTTCAGCTACTTTTTCTAGAAACAACACCAAGCTTAAATATTAAGTCTCACAATAATTTCGCAGGTGATAAATCTATACTTAATAATATTATAAAGAGGAAAGATTTGTTTGTTTGTTTGTTTCGAATACGCTCCGAAACTACTGGACCGATTTGAAAAATTCTTTTTCCATTAGAAGCCGACATTGTCCCTGATGAACATAGGCTACTTTTTTTTTTTTTGTTTGTTTCATGTGTGTTTTAATGTTTCCGAAGCGAAGCGAGGGCGGGTCGCTAGTTTTCAATATAATTAGGTACTACGTTTTCGTTTTACAGATTTTATTCAACTCGAAAATTCGCTGATCGTGTTTCACAAATCAGAGTTCACTTGCCCAGAGTTGCCCTTCAGAGTCCAACGACCGGTTACCCCGTTTGATCTACAATTACGTGCTGAAGTTTTAATCTCACGCCTAATAAATCCCTATCTATTTGAGAGTATATAAGCCCCTGATTATTTGAAAAACAATAAAACAAATGCGAGACTAATGAACATGAACAAAAGCCGGTCCAAGTCCGAACAATTAGATAATGTTAATGAAGCTCTGAAACGGGGGAGGTATTAACGAGGCGACACGTGTAATTTCATCAGTTTTGACTGTATTTTCCAAAGGGTATGTTCATAGTTAGAAATATTACTAGACGATGACCGGTTTTTTTTTTGATAACGCCATCTTGTTGTGTCTTTAAAGCGGTCAGTTGCCCTCAATTAAGAAAAATAGTGTTATTATTCGCCAATAGATGTCGGGAAAAGTTGATTATTGAAAACACGAATAAAACAACATTTACTGAAAATAAATCGTAGCTAGATCGATTTATCGCCCCCGAAATCCCCTGTATACTAAATTTTATGAAAATCGTTGGAGCCGTTTCCGAGATTCAGATAATATAATTATATATTAATATACAAGAATTGCTCGTTTAAAGGTATAAGATAAAATAATGACGATTTTTGTTTTCTTCTGATACAAACGTTCAGATGAACTCACGGTCATACATAGGAATGATTTTTTATGTTTGAGAGAGTACTGGTGGTGCCTTTACAGTTTTACCAGGACAGGTGGACGAACAAGGGCTCAGCCAGGTGGGGTAATTAGAATGGTCTTTGTTATTAGAGATGAACAAGCAATTCAAACGCAACATAGAACACACTATTGGGGCCTGTCGCACGAGAGGCAAGCATAATCCCGCTTAGCTAAAAACATATGTAGTATTTTGGACGTTTCGAATACTTTTGAGTTTTCGTAGTCACGGGCGACTGATGCGTCGGCATTTCAAAATTATGCTCACTACCGTCCATTATGGACGATTTCTTACTGGCGGTAGGACCTGTTGTGAGTCCGTGCGGGTAGGTTTCACCGCCCTACCTATTTCTGCCGTGAAGCAGTAATGCGTTTCGGTCTGAAGGGTAGGGCAGCCGTTGTAACTCTACTGAGACCTTTAGAACTTATATCTCAAGGTGGGTGACGCATTTACGTTGTAGACGTCTATGTGCTCCAGTAACCACTTAACACCGGGTGGGCTGTGAGCTCGTCCATCCATCTAAGCAATAAAAAAAAAAAAAAAATATATTCTATAAACTGTAATAATAGGTTTAATTATATTATTATCTACAACTCGCAAAACCCGAAGAGAATGCGCTAACTATAATGATATCAATTTGAACACTCATAAAAAAGCAGCTATAATCCATTCGTAAAAATCCCTCAGATTTAGTAAAGATAACGAACGTAAAAAAGTACCTACTGTAAGTACCGTTCCTATAAAATAATGAGTAAAATTTAAGATCTCACTTGAATGGCTGGAACAATTTCGTTTGAAGACGATACTTTTATCTCATTTGATTATATTTAGATGCTAAAAAATTTATTACAAAATTTAAATAGAATAAATAAGTAATCAATCTAATCAAAATAGTTTCTTTTTACTGCTGTTTATCGAATGATTAATACTTAAAATGACATATTCGTAGAATCATTTGAAATGAAACAAAAAATTTTACAATAGTAATTTTTTTCATTTACTCTTTAATCATTGTATACAGTCTTACTTACATTAACTAATAAATAGTACTAAAATCACATTTAATAATAACTTAAATTAAAAACTGGGCCAATGTTGACGTTCCTGTTTCTATCTATATGAGTTATACTGAGGAGGTTTAGTTTGGGTCTCTTGAGCGGGTGGTGGACTCTGTGGACATTCCTCCCACAACCACCAAACAGTGACGAGTACTTCCACGTTAATCAATATCAAAGCTATCACTGGAACTATTAATTTTGCAATCAAAGATTTTATACCAATCTTCGCAGCCAACAAGGGTTGTAGGACGCCGTTTATGAGCAAATCTTTCATCCCTTGTAATTGGAGACCTTGTGGAACGGTTCCTGATAATAATGCCAATATAAAACCAAGCAAGCCGTTCACTTTGCTTATCACTTTTGAGGTAACAGGTCTTACTAGTTCTGTAAGGTCTGGCTTCAATAAAGAGATTTTCGGTGTGGCTGAATTCGCTGGATGTGTATAGGCTGTCGGCTTCGAAGGTCCATAATTATGTCCAGGCGGATAGCCGTATGCAGGTGGGTTTGGATATGGATACGTTTGTTCGTCTCGGCCAGCCGCCGCGCGAAATTGTTCACGATCATCCAGAAAGTGGTCGTCCCATGTATCCAAAAAGTCGTCAAAGGTCAGCTCGTTGCCACTTGTTTGCCTGTTCTCTGGCATAGCGTTTGAATTTGTGTTGGGTCCATTTGCGATATGTAACAAAGGTTGATTTGTCTCCTTTGGTATGAAATTCCTGTAGGTCGGAAACTGAGCCATGACCGGGAAAGTGTTTGAAGTGCGCCCCTGAATCGGCTGATAACCCATATTCACTTGAAATGGATCGCCTGTCACGCAATCTATCAGTTTTACTGACACACAAAACAGCACAACCTTACAGAGCAGTTCCATTTTTCATTATACCGTAATTATGATTATGAATAAAGTCGTACATGACATGTGTTTATAAAAAGAAAATCCTAATTGCAAGATTCGCAATAATAACTAGGCCACGGCAAATGACCAGATTGTCCTACATACGCAGATGTTACTAAACATTAAAACGTCAGCTTATATCGATACCGGAATTGCAATCTAGTGACATACACCGCGCCACTTTATCGCCGGCGAAAATAGTCAACATACTTTTAGCGAATGAGCTATCTTCTTCCAGGTCATCGATTAGCGAGAATGCCGCCGCAGCTCCTATATTACTGCTCCAGCTCCGTGACGCCCTTTGTATCACACAAGCTATTCTTTGCGAGCAATCGCTTATCATTCTCGAAGTGTGTCGTTTTTTCTTTTTCATATATTTCATCATTTTCGATATCATAGGCCAAAGAAGAAAAGCTTTTAAGCCTAATTTAACGAATAGAATGAAAAGGATCGGTAACAAAACTAGTTTTCCTGCTAACAGTTTTAGTGTGACAATAACTGCACCCGACAACATAATCTTGGCGGCGCTTCCCAATACATTTGCGAACGACGAAAGAGCATCAGACTTTGGGCACGAAACATAGTAGTTCGAATCTGAATATGTCTTTCGAATTGGCTCCGGGTAATTGTGTGACGCTCCAGCAAATAAGTCGAGAAACGGTAGCGGTGGTGGTTCCGTAGCAACTGCACTCATCCTCTGGTCTTGAGCACCGACACGAAATTGTGAAACAATAAAAAGAATACCTAATACCACAAACATAGTTTATGAACTGTTCCGCTTCAACCGTTTTGTTTTATTTAAAACTTCGCGCGTGAAATTATAATTTCAAGATTTAATATGCGGCCGTAAATAATTATCTGTGTAATTGAAACAACGGTACCAAGGGACATCAGGTCATTTCATTTTTAGAACGAGATAATAATCGGAGTCCCTTTTTTACGTTGCTATTGTTACATTTTTACGACAACCTCAAAGAAAATGGAGCACGCTTTTGCGACCTTTTAACAGAAAACCATAGTATCTCATATAGTCTACCTGTAATTTATTCACTCATACTTTCATAAATCGGAGCCTAGATACGTTCGCCGACAGTTATTAACAAAATATTAATTGGAACTGAGTGACATAAAATGTAACAATTCAATGCTATTTTTATTGCACTCGTTACGTAAACAAACTTAAGTACTTGATATTAAATTGTAATTAGAGCCCATACAAATTAGAAATTTAATGCCATCACCTGCCTTGTGCCCGCCTATGAAGTCGAAGTTTGATTTTAATATTAAATTAAATGGCAATCAAACATTTTTATTCAGCTTAATGTTTCTTCAGATTTAAACATATAGTAATTGAGTCTTATAAACGTGTCAGGATCTACGTAAGTGCACAAGTCTGAACACCGATGAGCAATCAAAGTATGCTGGTTTAATACTCCGAGAATATCAGCTGCCCATACTTCTGAGTCTTTTATTTCATTTCATTTCATAACCAAATTCAAGTAATTCTATTCCATTCTGTGTAAATTGGCCACGGTCTTTTGTTACAAAAGAATTTGGCTGTAGTGACTATGTCCCCTTTGCCTATCTAACTGAACAAATGAAACAAAACACAATATTTTGGCAATCTGGCGGGAAAATCACATTATAGCTCAAAACATCTTCGTATATTGTATCATCTATACTCCAAACACGCCGGTACAGTGTTTACTGAAATATTTAATAGGAAAAGTTGGCAACTAGACAATATTGTTGGAATTTGAAATATCTGAAATGGCATATGTTAATGCTCACAAGCGCTTACAAGAAAGCCTCAGTGACAGTGAAGTTTCTCAGAAAAGAATTAGACTACCTTGGTGTTCTTCACGTAAGTCATATTTGGTCTTATGATAGAAATGGATATGTACTTTTAGTAATAAAACCGAAATCACCACGACAAGAATTGAAAAAACAATCTAATAAAATGGTTTCATATATTTTTTTAAATTAATTTATTCGCATAAATATGTAATAGCTCTTGCGATTGATATTTGAATGAGCCGTCTTAAAAACAACACATTGTTTTAAGTATGTAGAAAAAAAAACGTTATCGAAGCCATTTTAAAATTCAAAAAGTACTATTTTTTTTAAGAAATCATTCGTCTCTAAATTTCCCACGCAACGTTATAAATTATTTCAAAACCTTAGATATTCCATGACGACTGGTTTTAACATAAAAAATAATATACACATTTTGAAATTAATACCAACATGCTGTTTTAATGTTCCGTTGAAAAAGTTTAAACAGACATTTTTTTTATTTTTTTTATTTCATTACAATCCTAGCTTAATACTAATAATGATTACGTATCGCAAGTAAACAGATAAAAGTAATCATAAAATAATACATCGCTATAGCTTTTTGCTCAGCCTGAAGATATCAGATCTGGAAATTGTCGCTATGTAAGGACCATGCATCGACACACCCATGGCGTCATGCTTATCTCAGATAGCAATTGATTATTGTTGTTATATATTTTTTCTATTGCCAAAAACAAATTGTGGTTTATTTGTTATAAAAGACGGTAAATACGATATAGCTGTATAGGGACTTCTTCAATCCGTTACTTTACTTTTTTGTTTCATGCATTAGCGTGCCCTCTATCAAATTAAGTTTAAGCTTCCCATGTTTGTTGACGGCTATTCAAGGATGTATAGCATGGGTAGTCGGCAAATAGTTTCAACGAAAGGGCGTATTTTTTTTGTAAATTTAGCGACAATCACTACGTAACGGCGACAATGAGTAGTGCTATTTAATGTTAAAAGTTATATATTGCATATCATAGAACGGGTTATGGTAATTTTCTCAGCATTATATAAGCCACATACAACATTAATATTATGAGAGAACCTGCTAAACGGCAGATACAGCTGAGTGACAATAAATCGATATGATATTTATTTCGAGACACGTCCCTACATAAAACGATACGATACATCGAACCGTATAAAATCTAATGTATACGAATATATATATACACGTTTAACGTTAAATAATTTGATACAACATAAAGTTTATGCATCTGTATACCTTTGTGTATATTTTCGTAATGTAATTACCTAAAATTTGGATAATAGGTACCAAAATTTCGTTACGTTGCGAAATTAGTGGCTCTCCCCAACCGACATTAAAGTGAATAATAACCCAAATGTTTACCTCATTCCAAAACTTTATAGTGCTGTACTAAATGTGATCACGTTTCAAATGTAGATGTAAAATTAGGGAGGTGGGTGAGAGGAATTTGGAAATAAGAAATTGACTTAGCGTACACTGGTTTAGTTTATTTCAGAAAACACTATAGCAGCAGTTGTAACGATTGGCGCCTTGCCCATCTCTTCTTACTTTTTCGATTTAACTCACGTATTTTAATGTTATTATATTATTTCAAAAGTTTTAATGTTGTAAAAGTCGTAACTTTTGGACGAAGAAAATGACCGCATAGACATCAGGGTGGCTACTTTAGGCTGGTAAATGAGCATGTGGTGATAACGACTCCTATTACAGTTATTGAACAGTTATTGACTGAGTAAGTAACAGTTACTTGGTAAATATTCGTGTTATTAATTATTTTGACGCCAACTGTTATTGCAATGGCTGAATATTTTCATTATACTAAATCAAAAATGGAAAAAATGTATAACATCTTTTTTTTTATTGCTTAGATGGTTGGACGAGCTCACAGCCCACCTGGTGTTAAGTGGTTACTGGAGCCCATAGACATCTACAACGTAAATGCGCAACCCACCTTGAGCTATAAGTTCTAAGGTCTCAGTATAGTTACAACGGCTGCTCCGCCCTTCAAACCGAACCGCATTATTGATTCACGGCAGAAATAGGCAGTGTGGTGGTACCTACCCGTGTGAACTCACAAGATGTCCTACCACCAGCAAATAATAATAATAATAATAATAATAATGTTTTTATTTCAAGTATCCATGACTCATATAAATTGTTAATAGTAGTTATATTTACATCACAATGAATTACTGTGGTAACATCCCATGGGAGATGGCACCACAGCGACCCATGTATATACAGTCCAGCCTGCTAATATATATATATATATATATATATATATATAATATATATCATGCAAAGAGGTCCTACCACCAGTAATATAACGCAAACGCTTTTACGGCACGCTACGGCTTGTAGGAAAGATGGCCCTAGCGCCGAGAAGTGCTCGAGTGACCACCGCATATCGAAAAACGTAGTCGGGCTAGGCAGACTGACGACCTGTTGAAGGTTGCAGGAATACGCTGGTTGCAAGCAGCGCAGAACCGGTCGTTGAGGCCAGACTTGGGGGGACCTAAGTCCAGCAATGAACATCTGTGGGCTAAAAGATAGATGGATATATAGATATTAAGGCAATTAGATAAAAAGTAGTCTAACTTTGAGAGTGCGATTATAGGGAGGTTCTTCCTTTCCTTTGTCGTGTCACTCTTGTCAGAGCGGTCGTGGTCTTTATTCAGCATCATTGCTGTGGGCAGATGTTATGCGCCTCACGAGCATTCGCCACTCCTCCCGGTTTGTGGTGAGCCTGGTACACTCATGCAAACAGCCGCCAAGTGCCTACTTGATCTGGTCGGTCCATCGCATGGGCAAACTTCCACGCGGTCTGGTGCCTTTGCCCTGAACGACAAGGCGCTCTATGGAGTCATTTCCTCGCCGGACATGTCCAAAAAATGATAGTATGCGTCCATGCACGAGCGCCGAAAGACTTATATTCTAATCTTATTAACATTAATTTCCACTTCATTCTGAATACTGTTATATCAAAAATAATTATTATGTAGGCTCTAACACTAATGTTAGAGCTGAAGGCGTCTTATGCAAGGGTTATTGGATCTGATGGATCCGGTGCCATGCACTACGCACCTTAGCCGAAACTTTGCATATACTGTTTTGTTAATCGAAGATTATATTCGTAATTAAGCTATAACATAGTCCAGATTTCTTAACACAAGTCTATTTATCCCTCAACAAATTACGCTTCATATTCTTACCGTTTAAATATCAAAGCTGTATAAAATGATTACAGTTTTCACTTACAAAAACCTAAGTTTCACAAACCACGAATATAAATTCATTGAAATTACCAAAGCTGTTTACTGAATAGTCTTACAATTCTGAGAAATATACTTTTATCATCTTTCTGAAAAAAAAAGTGAATTAACAACTGCGAAATAAAAAACAAACACCAACTTATCAGACAGATAGATACTCCAATGAAAAACGAGCCTCAAACTTTTTTATCTTTAGTCGGGAAAGCAAATACGGCTTCAATTTTGAAAAGCTATTTTACGAAAATTCTATGTAGATTTGGATTACAACTATCACTTTCTTTTGACTTATGATCTTCATTTGATTTTGGGCGCAGAGGGTAAATAGCCTTACAGGCCCGCATCGTATTATTAAGTTGATACTGAAGCCCATGGGCAGCACTGCGCGAACGCCTACGCTTTTATGCTACACTATCCACTTGGAAACGTAAGATTGAAATCTCCATTATACCTATATTTGCCTATCAACTATGCCATATTTCAAACTAGAGCTAATGATTACTTTGAACTAGGCTCGCGTTACGCAAGTACTTTATCCACTCTTGGGTATGTTTAGGTAACAAATTATTATAGTATGAATTGTATGAGATGTTACTGTGATTAAAATGTTGGAGAAGCAATATCTCGAGAGAGCTACATTTTCTAAGACTACTGCGGTTCAGGCTCAACCTAACAAACACATTATTGCGAATGTTAATTTTTATTAGGCCTAATAAAAAATACCTGGGTTTTAATGTTGCGCGCTTTTTAATTTAATTTTTTTTATTACTGAGATGGGTGGACGAGCTCGCAGCTCACCTGGTGTTAAGTGGTTATTGGAGCCCATAGACATCCACAACGTAAATGCGCCACCCACCTTGAGATATAAGTTCTAAGGTCTCATGAATAGTTACATTAAGTATAGTTAAGTATAGTTACATTTCATTTTATAACTATATCGTAGTCTAAATAGAGATCAAGTACCGAAAACAAGTAAATCGATCGGTATATCAAACAGCACTCTGTCTGGTCCACAAACGCGTGCCTGCTCGTGAAGTATTCAAATTTTCAAAGTCTGGACCTATGTGGAATGAATTTCAAAAATATCACGTGTTAAAATCAAATCTGAAAGGTTTATGTGACTCGTGTGATTAAGACGTGCCCTCGCCAATTTGGGTCGGAGTACATATGCATAGACTATTATTGTTGAATGTTGTATTCTAGCTACGTAAGCGTGTTCTAAATTACAATACGTTTTCGCTTTTCTTCTAATTTATTTTATATGTATCAACAACAGTTTGTCTTAGTATAATCTATACAATTATACTAATATATAAATCTACAGTGGTTTTTACGGTTGTTTCGTTATAACTACTGAACCATGCATCCAATTGACTTGAAACTTGGTATCCATGTAGAAAATACATGTACTTAATGATAGGCTAATATATATATATATATCAATCACGCCACGTTAACTGGTCCCGTGCTAAGTTCGTACAGAACTTGTGTTACAGGTACCAGATAACGGAAATAAATGTAAGATTTTTATTATACACGTACATATATTTAATATACATCCATAACCCTGGAAAAGACATTTATATTTATCATACAAATATCTTCTCTTGGCGGGATTCGAACCCGCGACCCCCTTGTGTAGTGACCATGTCACTTACCACTACACCCGACGCCATTTATATGAGTGTTGGGCTCCCTAATAATAATGACAATAAATAATAATGTTAATTTTGAATGCCCAGCGAAGTGGGCGAGTACGGCTAGTATGACATATTTACGACACCAAATAAATCGTTTCGTTCAATCTTTAGCTATTGATTATAAAATATGATTTAATAATTTCAATAACGTCAACCCTAAAAATATAGTAACTTAAATATAGAAATTAAAATCTCGGCATTAAAAACGGACAGATATACTACTATTTGAAAAAATCACTTTCATACAAATTCGTGTGTAGTTTTAGTGTTGTCTCATACGGCCACTATATTTTATTCTAGATTTTTGTAAGTCTATCTGTTTTAACTGGATTACATGGGTACTTCACCGTATAGAACACACGGTGCTAAATGATTATCAGATCCTCAAATTTGTCATAAATCTGAACCCACGGTGGATTCTATATAAGTATAACGGATTACAATACGCTTTACCATTAACAATTACGCTAACTTACAAATTTAATGAGTTTGATTTTCTTAAATTACATGACGTCATTCATTAATCGTGAAGACATTCGTAAAAATCTATTGAAAACATATTTCATTACAAAAAGTGGCTGACTGACAATTTTAGCAGCGGCCTACTCGTTTCGCTCGAGGCGAGTACACCGGGTATCTAATTCTTTAAGCCATTGCTTTAAATCAATAATTATATATTGAGGTTTTTTTTACATCGTAACATCTACATCGACATCTACAACGTAAAAGTGCCACCCACCTTGAGATATAAGTTCTAAGGTCTCAAGTACAGTTACAACGGCTGCCCCATCCTTCAAACCGAAACGCATTACTGCTTCACGGCAGAAATAGGCAGAATGGTGGTACCTACCCGCGCGGACTCACAAGAGGTTCTACCACCAGTAAAAGTTGTTTTACGCTTTCTTTATATTAATATTATCTTTTTTATACATTCATGAATAACAGGCATTGGTAGGTACATGGTGCTGAAATTTTCACAAGACTAAAAGCACATTTTACTATAACATTCCACGTTCTCTGAAAACCGTAGCATTATGTTACCAATGATTTTTTTGTTTACCTAAATTAGTAAAATGTCGCGCTAATAATGTTATAGTTCCTCACATACTCCGAAAATAGGTTATTGTGAAAGTTCTTCCTAATTCTACTATAGTCACCCTCGGCGTTAACATCATTAATTAACTGCAACAGCGTTACACAAGCTAAGCAAATTAGATTACTCGGGTAACGCCAATTCACCCCACATTTCCGCAGGAAAAGTTTGCGAAAGGAGGAAACCGAGGCGAGTTTCCACGAACAGGGAAATACGTTCAACGTATCCTGAACGGGGAAACATCTGGAAATACGAGTATCTGTATGAGAATAACAATGAGAAGTTGAAACGTACTAAAGTAAAGACTAGCAAACGTGAATCGCTGGTGAGGTATCGCTGTAATACAGCTATTGGAGTTGTTATGGTGATATCTATCTGCTTGGGATTTTTGGGTTAGTCTGTGGTTTTTTTTTTTGGAACAAAGTTCCATATGGGACGATGCGGAGGGGTACCTTAACCGGGGAAAAACGTCCGTAACGTAAGATTTTTATTAGTAATGCACACAGTGTACGAATTAACTTTGTAATAACGTACAAATTAGTAATGCATACAGTGTACGACTTAACTTTGTAATAACGTACAAAAAATGTAATAGCAGTTTTTTATCATTCATTGACCACGATCTCAGAGCGTTCGTTTGCGCAATACACTAACTCTTATGCAAACAACCGTGAATGAAGTGTACCACAATAAGTTCGCACGTTACCGAATGACCATGGGTTGTTGCGAAACCTCCAGTTTTATTTTCTTTATACCTCGAATAGAACTTAAAATTAATATTTTTATAATAAGGAACTTCGTTCCTATACGGTGTCCCACGACACCACACATCTTTTTTTTTAATCATTACTAGGAAATGGAAGCATTGATACCAGAAATGAGAAAATTCAATGAAACGGAAATGATACTAAAACAGAAAAAGATAATAAACATGTATTGTATAAGTTGACACGCGCGAGAATAAAATAGATTTTTTCTGGAAGTCACTTTTACGGTGAATGCAAAGCTCTCATGTATTTTAACATTATGATCACCTATTTTTGTACTGTTAATATTAAGATTACAATATCTTTTAAATAAAATAGACCCTGAGTTAAGCGCCGATTTATATAGAAACTATAGCTATAGAACATTATTAAGACAATCAGTACCTTGATAAAGATTATCTTGTTTTTTTTTTATATTTATGTATATGCTTAAAGACAGACAAGCCTTGTGACAAAGTGGATTAATACTCTCTCGTTTGATTACTTGAGGAAGTTTAATTGACTCTATTTCAGTGTCTCTCTGGATGCCTAATGAGATGCTGAAAGCGGACTTAATTACTGGGGTTGTACCGAGAACGAAGTTCATGACATTACGTGAGTAACACTCATTTGCGTACATCAACTATGGTTTTTAAGGTGAAAATTGACTAACAAGCTATACAATCAGTTAATTTTTTAAATATTATTCCTTAAGGAAGGTGTAAATGTTTTGATAGTACATAGTTAATGTATCAACTATTAGGTCATCTGTCTATCAATGAATTAAATTAATGAAAACATAATTATGTATCTAGATGGATTGTGCTCAGCTACAGTAAATGAAGAGTGTTGCAACAGACTAAAGTACTTAACCAAGGAACTGTCCAAATCAGAAAATTCGGTCAGGTAAAATAAAGATAATTGGTATTCATAACCTTCTTTCTTTATAAAGATCTCAAGCGTTTTTTTTTTTAAATTTAAATCTTAAATGATTAACAGTTCGTACAAATCTTTGCCGCGCAAACTGTACAAAACACGGTTGAGCGTGTGACGTCATTCCTGTCCAAAATAAGCAAAGAGTTAACCATAGACTACAACCACTACTATAGACACTACAATGATGATGATGGCTATTTAGCCACATTTAGCAAAATGCGTTGTGATTGGAATTAAAAAACGTTAGAAATACTAAATTTTATTTAGTGTTTCAAAATAAAATCTATAATCACAGTGAGATCACAGTCTCTCAATTTTTTTTTCCACTGAAATTTAATGTCACCGTTCTGAGATTGTTCAATAACACGCGCATAAATACGAGCAGACAGCTCATCCCATCCTGTGAGAATGCAATCTCCGGCAGGATGATCGCGTTGATATGTTAAAACCTTGTTTAAGAACGACATCGAATCTGATGTCATTTATTATACAGATCTTGAGGCAACTGCTAGAAACTTCCATAGAATCATTCCAGAAAATTTTCAAGCTTTCTGATTAAATTCATTACGGGATCCAAGATCTCTTTCCGTCAACCTCAAGTTCTGAATTGTCGTATGATCAGTACTGGTTACAATAGGGCTCATAGTAACAGAAGTGAGTGGTCGCCAAATATCCGATAATAATATTTCACAATATTGTCCTCCTTACTTACTGGTGGTAGGACCTCTTGTGAGCCCACACGGGTAGGTACCACCACCTTGCGTATTTCTGCCGTGAAGCAGTAATGCGTTTCGGTTTGAAGGGTGGGGCAGCCGCTGTAACTATACTTGAGACCCTAGAACTTATATCTCAAGGTACCCACCTTTATGGCGCATTTATGTCGTAGATGTCTATGGGCTCCAGCTCCACTTAACACCAGGTGGGATGTGAGCTCGTCCACCCATTTAAGCAATAAATAAAAAAAATCCTAATAACTTTTGTACATTTACTTGTATGTAAATATATATTTGCATTTTTATTCGCATAAGTACTTCCTAAAGCACGCTCTATAGTACCCGGCAAACTAATAAAAATTCGAAACTATCTTAGAGGCAAGTTCAAGTAAGAAAGCCTTGGAATCCTTATCATATTTTTTTATGTTATTATCGCGTTGCGCACAACAAGGCACCAGTAAATTACTTTAAATGATTTGGGTAAATAAATCATTATTGTTAAATTTTACTTAGGGTAGCATTTCTAGTGGACCCGCAGTAGTCGAAATTCGACTATAATTAATTGGAATTGTAAGTTTGTACCCTATTATGATTGTATTTTATACTTCTATAATCCCAAATTTCGCCAAGACTACACTATAAAAAATATTAACAAAGACAAACAATATTTAATCTCAATTTGACAACAGACTTCAAGAACAAAAGTTTGACAATAAATAGTATGCATGCGTGTGTGCGTCAAATACATGGTATGTAGTGTGTGTAATGTTTTCTTTATAAATTTAATGTCACTTTTATGCATTATTTAAAAAAAATAGCATTGTGCACTTCTTCTCCATATTCTCTATAAGTGTGGAAAATTTCATAATCCTCCGTCCGCGCAATTTTCGTAAAAAGGGATACAAAGTTTTTTCTTCACGTATTAATATATAGATATATGTATAAATTTGTTCTGTATATTTTATATGTATATATTTTTATTCGGTTTTCATAACATGTATGAAAAAGACTAACATAACAATTACATTTATGCACTTAATGCCAGTCACCGTCGACGCCCTAGGTACGTCCTTACGGATCCATCAGATCCTATAACTGTTGCATAAGACGCCTTCAACTCAAGCACTAGGAGCAGGCTTAGACACTCTAATAACCATACTCGTCGAACTCGGCAAAGAGATCGACGTTCAACCTAACCTAAACATTAGCCAGCTGAATTTCTCGCCGGATCTTCTCAGTGGGTCGCGATTCCAATCCGGTAATAGATGGAGTTGTAAGGTCTCCTTTGGAGATGCTAAGGTAATTGCTAGCAAATTCATAGGCACAGGCTCACCCTTCAAATCAAATCAAAATTAATGAGAATATTATTTCGTATTCAATTGGTTCATTCGATGAATTTAAAATAATTATTATTTTTGTCATATGGCATTGTATATGTATATCTACAATCAAACAATTTAAATTCGTCTACATTTACAGGGCTTTGCATCGAATACGTTATAATTTAATGTTGACGTCGAGATCTATTGAAGGTGAGTACGATTATATTTCATGCCCTTCACTAAGTCTAGAGTTTATGATTAAATAATAAATTTAAATTAATTGACTAAAAGTGGAAAGATTTTTAAAAGCAGTTCTTCTTTAGTGTTTTTTTTAATGCCCGTGTAGGCAGACGAGCATACGGCCCACCTCATGATGAGTGGTTAACGTCGCCCATGGACTTCAGCAATGCCAGGGGCAAAGCCAAGCCGCTGCTTACCGACCAACTTTTGATCAGAATCAGCAGCTCATTTTGCAGTTTGACGGAGCCCATGACTGCATAAAAGATACATAGAATAAAATATACAAAAAGTAAAGATACATAGAACAACAAAGATACAAAAACAAATATAAAAAGTCTGAGAGACAATTATTGTTGCAAGTCTTATTAGCACAAGTCAACCTCTTACCAAAACGTTTTACTTATAGTAAATAAATAGTTATAAATTTTTAAAACGGTACTAATTAACCTGCGAATTTCCTTTTATTAAAGCCATTCCATAAGGAATTTCCGAGCTTCCAATCATTTGCGGATAACCATTCACCCATAACCTATTTTTTGGGTATTTGTTACTGCGTTTATTGAACTTTCACCTTAAGCCAATTTGAAATAATATGTCTTTTAAATACATGAATAGATACGCCCCGCGGCTTGCCCCACGCTAAATTAGTTATTCAGAAATTTATTATATCAATGTTCAAAAAGAATCCAAAACGATTCATTTTTCCCAGTATAAAGAGCTTCTTGTGTCATAGACTACTACTACTACTACTAGTAATACCACCAATCTGGTCCATAAACTACCGATCCTAGAGTATACTACTACGTTAACATGACAGCTTTTGCGTATGCAGTCTTAATATGTATGATATGGTAAATGAAAAATCCTATCTGGATAGTAATCACATAATGAATATATTTACAAAATTGAATCTATCTGACGGACATCTCGTGAGACACTAGTGGTATTTCGCTTATACTTAAAGATCTCTGTATGTTACTTGGCCACACAAGTACCTACCTTTTTTTTCCTACTGAACATTTTATTTTCATACAGAAATGCATATTGACAGTAGTTTAAACCAGATTGAAGGGGCAACAGTAACAAAAGGCAGTAAAACTGAAGAATGGGGGGGTAGGATTGCTCTCTGGGGTGTAATACCTCTATGGCGAGCGTCGCCACCGCCAGGTACTATACTGGCATTACGAAAAGTAATGCCATCTGACTGTTGGCCATTTAGGTAATTCAATACACTATTTTTATTTAATATTTCGTTTCAGTCGTCCTGCCCTAAAGGGTAAGACGCCCAGTGCGTTCGTATCTAGCGATGCGGCTGTCCCGGTGTTCGAATCCTGCAGACAGCTATCAACTTTTCTGATGAAATACGTACTTAAAAAATGATCACGAAAACTTCTATGGTGAAGGAATAACATCGTGAAGTAAAAATTAAGCCCGCAAAAATTATAATTTGCGTAATAACTGGTGGTAGGGGCGTCTAAGTGCGCGCGAGTAGGTACCACCACTCTGCCTATTTCTGCCCTGAAGTAGTAATGGATGTCGATTTGAAAGATGGAACAGCCTTTGTACTGTAAAATCGAGACTTAAAAGTTACATGTCTAGGTGAATGGCGGTAAACACCAGGAGGGTCGTCCACCCATTTCAGTAATAACAATAAAGATTTAGTGATCACCTCGCTGATATTTCTAATGCGTTTGCATTAGCATTTAGTACCCAACCTACCAAATGGTGAGCAGTAACCATCGCTCATGGACGACAGTAGAACCAAACCGTTGCCTTCCGGAGTGTAATGTCCTCAAGCCACGTTTTAAAACGGATCTGCCTCAGTACCATGGATGAAAGTTCATTCCGATACCGTAATTGTGACCCCATTTTATATTCTTTTTCCGATTAATCAGTTTCTTTATTAAGATATTTGTTTGGAATGTTTTCAGCATTCCATAAAACAGGAAATTTTAGCTTGGGTCTAAATGTGGAACCTTTGCTTTTTGTGTTATTTTATTATGTGCATCTAGCACTCACTTGGCATCACATCTCCACAATTCCTATTAGTACCTAGCTAGCTAGTTAGCAATATGTACATTTTTACTGGTGGTACTGTGGCGGCGGCGCCCATGGTCAGTACCGCCATACTACCAACCTTATAATCGCAATTGATCTTAAGTTAGAAAACTATGAACTTTCGTTGTGATTTCTATCATGAGGAGCGAGAACATTTAGAATAGAACAATACGAAGTTTAAAAAATCTTCGAAAGGAGTTAATGACCCCGACACGCACCGAATTGTACACTTTCAGTGGATCTGAAGGCGAAGTAGAGATACACTTAGCGCATACACAATGGGTTGATCGTTTGAGCATCGAGCACGTCCGGCCTGACATCGCTCGAAGTGCACCAAAGCATTTCGTTGTATACGTGAGTGAATTTCTTTAAAACCATGGATTCTATTTTTAAATGAATGCCTTTTTAGAAAACTAAGCTTATTTACCATCACCATAGTAAATAGGACCTTTTATTACGTGGCTTACCCTTTAAACAGGCTAGAGCTAGGTATAGCTCGTATAGGTGATCCCGCTGCCAACATTGGCTCTAATTCTATGTAACGTCTGCCCACTGATAGCCGTACAATATAAAAAAATTACCCAATATTAAATGACCTTCATAAAGTACCTACATATGGAATACAGAATATTTCTTTGTTTGCATCAAATAACACGAATCTATAAATATGTAGTAATTGACTTTAATTATATCGTTTTACAGACAAAAATATCGGCTTTAAATTAAAAATATTAAGGGGTTTGATCATTATAATGCTATCTACGTTAAAACGATCATTCAATCGCTAATATTGTGATATAACTTAAAATAAAATCGCTTATAAAATCTAAATTCTAACATTCATTGATATAGAGATGGTACTTGGACATAGCTATGTATTTTTACATGTCGAGATATAAATAAGAATCAAATATACTTGTTTTCTGAAATTTTTATATTAATAATAAGCCCCTATTAAAGCGAAGTTCTACGCAGGGTATCCAACATAACGATACTTGGACTGTAATGTTGCGCGACGAATACAGGAGCAGTGGAGCAGCAAAACAATTTTTCAATGTCAAGAAAAATGTACAAGTAAAAAGAGTAATTTTCCAAGTTAATAGTAATCACGGAAATCCAAAGTATACCTGTATTTATAGAGTGCACTTGTACAGTTACAAAAGATCTTAATTTCAAACTTTACTTCTAATAAAAATTTAAAATATCTACTTATTTTATTTAAAAAAATATATCGGCATATAAGTATTTTACACTGAAGGTTTTCATTAAGCATATAATAACCTGTCGAGGTCCTGATACCAATTACATATAATTTAAAAGAAAACTGTCCTAGAATGGCGCCACCCCAGCTCTTTACAAGTGGTCCTGGCGTAAAGGATAACGTCCGGTGCATTTGTATCCAGCGATGCACCGGTGTTCAAATCCCGCAGGCGGGTACCAATTCTTCTAATGAAATACGTACCTACTTAACAAATGTTCACGATTGACTTCCACGGTGAAGAAATAGCAACGTGAATTAAAAATAAAACCCGCAAAATTATAATTTGCGTAATTACTGGTGGTAAGACCTCTTGTAAGTTCGCACGAGTAGATGTACCACCGCCCTGCCTATTTCCGCCGTGAAGCAGTAATGCGTTTCGGTTTGAAGGGTGGGGTAGCCGTTGTAACTATACATTACCTTAGAACTTATATCTCAAGGTTGGTGGCGCATTTAGTTACGTTGTAGATGTCTTTGAGCTCCAATAACCACTTAACATCATGTGGGCTGTGAGCTCGTCCAGTCATCTAAGCAATAAAAACAATTAAACGGCGCCAAGCTGCAATCTTTAACTGTGATTTAATTATGGTAAGGTAAGTACCACCTATTTGAGTTGCGAAGTGGACCTTCGTTCCAGTTTGATAAGGGGGACAGCTGCAGCACTAAATAATTGACTCATTTCAACGCATTTCAACGCATAACTCATTTCATTAGTTAAAGCAAAAGGAGTACAGGATTGTGAAACTTCTCCCTGAATATTTGAAACTGTCAGTGAACGAGCAATCTTGTGGCTCTTCAATAGTCTTAATTTTATGTTTTTAGGTAAATAAATTATATTTTATTCTGAGGAATTTGTTTAAATAAAACGAAACAAATGGCTTTCATGTAATATTATTAGCCAGTGCAGAGTATTTATGCAGCACTCCAGTCTTGAGCGGATCCACCCCACGAGGGCGCTGCGGTGGCGGCGGCTGGTGCGGCGGCAGTTGTGCTCCACTCATCTTGTACCTGTGAAAAAAAAACATTTCATATTTAACTAATGTTTTAGAAGTTTTGCTGCAAAGAGCAATAATATTTAATACTAGCGACCCGCCCTCGCTTCGCTTCGGAAACATTAAAACACACATGAAACCAAAAAAATAAAATATTTTTTTTTTTAAAAAGTAGCCTATGTTCATCAGGGACAATGTCGGCTTCTAATGGAAAAAGAATTTTTCAAATCGATCCAGTAGTTTCGGAGCCTATTCGAAACAAACAAACAAATCTTTCCTCTTTATAATATTAGTACAGATTTTAACTTTGGAAAAAAAACGCATTTTTTATGTAGTTTATTTTATATATCTAAAACTGGGGTTCCCAAACTTATTTTGTCTAATGCCCACTTTAAATGATAATAAATTCTTTTTGGGCCCCCATTTTTTCACCTACTTAAAAGCCACAATAGCGAGACCTCAGTCAGTGTCAAGACTTCCTAGATAAAATTACAAATTGTCTCCAAGCCTCTACACAACGCCCCATCTTTTTTCTGGGTCTCTTACCGTCACCCTTTATGCCTGCAGCGACCACAAGGGGACGTTATCGCCCACTTTGGGAAAGGCTGATCTAAATGAAATACTACATGTTGACAATCTCATTACTTGTGAATACTGGAACCTTAAAATGAAATGAAGTCCTTATAGAAGATGTAATAGATATAAAGTTATATAAAATGTTTAGTGACTGCAAAATTTTCAGTACAGAATTCCTGATATTTCATCACTACCACAAGATCACCACCTATATAATAAACGAATGTGGCGGGACGCCACCTTGCAAAACAAGATATTTACAGATACCTGGGTCTCGCTTATGACAATTTCAAGATAAGTTTGCATATATAAAATTCCCGAACAACAACATTCAGTCCGTTGGTCTACCGAGCAATTACAACCGCTCAGTGGAAGATCTTCTTTTCTTCTTCCCTTTGTCGTAAACCTTTGAAATGAATAAGGTTTTTTTATTTCAAAATATTTTTTTTTAAGAGATAAGTTAATTACCTGGGCAGACCATTCTTCTTGAGCAGGGGGTGCTCCAAAAGCAGGAGCTGCAGCGGGTGCAGCAGGCGGGGCGGTATCTTCAGCCCATGAAGCCACTGGCTCCAGTGTTTCATTCCAGTCTTCATGGACAGGAGCAACTACTTCTGGTTTAGCTGGTACCACAGCCTGGAAAATTTATTACACTTAAGTTTTACATTGGCATTTTATGGACAAAACCTATTAGACTCAATAAGGGAATGAAATAAAAATTATAGTAAGATTGCCCCTCAACATTTCTTTGATTGAACTCTGTTTGCCCATGTTTCTAACAAAAAATTCATTAATATCATGAAATATTGTTCATGTACTAAATAACCACTGCAATTGAAACAATCAATCTTATTCTGCAAGGTCAGCAGCACAGCTTGAGTAACAGCCCCAACAAGACATAAGTTGCATAAGCACATATGTCCAAGCTCAGTATTTACAACTATCCAGTTTCCATATCCTATCCAAAAGAAAAAAATCACCATACAATGACTGTTTATCTACTTGTGGAACAAATGATTTTTCTTCACTGAGCAGAACCTGACCTTAAGTTAAGAAAATCTATTCAAAGATAATATGTAGAAATCTAGTTTATGCAGAAATTGACCTGGACAAAGAATTAGTAATTGGGGGTTAGTGACTGATGGGTTGCTTATGGCACCCCAACTGCCAAATCCAAGATAAAGGATAACATAAGTCATTTTAATTAATAAGGTCAAATTTCACAAGAAAATTGTTGTACCTGTTCCTTGGCTTGTTGTTCATCCTTTTCACTTTCTTCAGGGTCACGGTAGAAGAACAAATCAACCACAACATCCCAGCGCTGGTCACGGGGAAGCACACCACGAAGCCTCAACACTTCACGTGCCAACAACCACCACATCAAACCAATAGAGTGGGAAGACTAAAAATAAACCAAATATTACAAAACTCAGTTGAAAACTATGATTTTATTTGGTTGCCTCGATGGGAGAACGAGCTCACGGCCCACCTAGTGTTAAGTGGTTACCAGAGCCCATAGACATCTACGTAAATGCTGCCACGCACCTTGAGACGTGAGTTCTAAGCCTCAGGTTTTACAGTACAATGGCTGCCCCACCCAGCCTTCAAACCGAAATGCATTACTGCTTCATGGCAGAAATAGGAAGGGAGGTGGTAGCTACCGGTGCAGACTCACAAGATGTGCTACTACCAGTTCTAATTAGATCTGTCATTATAGCAAAATACATTTGAAAAAATAAACCTTGCTTGATTTGTAGTTGATAAAAAAATTACCTTGGTGTTGCATGGGATAGCAATGTCCACAAATCTTAGTGGGGAGTCTGTGTTGCACAAAGCAATCACAGGAATGTTGACATATGAAGCTTCAGTAATGGGTTGATGGTCTTGTGCAGGGTCCAATACAATCAAGAGACGAGGTTCACGGAATGCAGCTTGGATCTGTTGAGAAAATTGAAATGAATGGGGGTAAATTCAAGAGTAAACTAATTTAGATTGCTAGGATCTACTTTCAAAGATTTCAGAAATAATTTAATCATGCTTGCATTAATGCAATCAGTGGTTCCTTAGTTTGTTTGTCATCATAATATAATAAGCTTATATGCGTTTAATACATAAAAGCAGACCAATGTATTGAGAATTAAAGTGTGTGCCTAACAGTTTGTACAGTACCTAATCTACTTAAAAAAGTGTGCAATTTACATGGCACACAAAAAAGACCGATAATTCACTCTAAAGGCAACATATTATGCCAAGTAACTGCTTTACAAAATTACCAAGAGCTTAATAAATATTGTTTCCATTAATTAATTTCTAATTACTTTCAATCTGTCACATTATTGTTTAAGACATATTTATAAAAATATATGTATCAATACTATAATTCACTTTATATTCCCATTTGACTCATGAAAACCTAACATACTTGGTTTGTAGATGAAGTACACAAATAATTAAATGTCATTGCATAGTAACAAATAGTTTAATGGTTTATTACCTGGTTAGTAAAAGCACCTGGTGTGAAACGTCCCGCAATAGGCGTAGCACCGGTGTGCGCGGCAAACTTCAGTACAGCACGCTGACCGAAGGGCCGTGATGAGATGACGAACACATCAGCGGGGTTCTCGATGGCTACGACAGCACGAGCAGCCAGAACAAGTTTTTCCCAGGTACGACGCAAGTTGATCACATGGGTACCATCAGCACGTCGTTTGTAGACATAGGTCTCCATCTGTTTTGCAACATTTTCTTCAAATACCACTCATTTAAAGCGGAGCTTATTATTAAGTAATTGAAGCTCAGTTGGGAGAATTAATCGTCATAGAATAATCAGAATAAAATGGAACGGATTCTCTTATCATCATGGTTTTGTTAGGTTATGTTTATAACAGATTTGAATATTTTTGTATGTATTTACCTGGAAGTTAACATTTTCTGCCCCAAGATGGGTGGTTGCAGCAAGCATTTTGGTGACATCTTCCTCGTTGAGGGCGAGCACGTCTAATCCTCCCGACATCGTTGCGCTTATTTGAGTTACGACTAAACCTGAAAAATCACCACACGATTAATTGACAATGTTTTTATTCAGTGATCAAATACTGATAATTTACTCTTGTTTATTAAACATACATTTTGATCGCACAACACATTAAAAGTTCTAATAAACGATGTAAAAACAATTTTTCGATTTATTACTTACGCGTATAATGCCACTGGGAGGCGAAATGGACTTAAAGAAGTGTCAAATATGTCAATGAAAACTAGTTGTCAAAGTTGTCCTTGGACTAGAACTCAAACAAGCAAAGAAAATAAAGCTCATACTATACACAAAAATCGAAGCCATACCTCTTCAGCAAAAACTAAAGAATTTTGTCTAAATTAGCTTTCCTTCAGATTATGAATAATAATATCATGGATTTTCAAAGGTTATCGTTGAATTGAAATTAATTACTTTGTCGTCTGAATTCTTCTTGTAATGCCCATAAAGTTTGATAGTAATAATACACAAAAAAGAAGAGAGGTTGAGGAGGTTAAAAGATAAAATACAACGTGTACGTTTGACGTGTTATGTATCCCAGATATACGAATTTTTGAAATTATACTTCAATAAGTAAAAGAATAGTTTAATATTTTAACTTAGTTATATTTTTACGTTAACGAAAAATAAGTAGAAATGACTTAGCCTGCGATTTTTTGTTTCCAAAATCATGTACATAGTTATCTTTTAAAATCAATTTATTTTAAAGAATGTCAGCTGCGTAATATAACGTTATTATATTTTTAATCAAACTTTTCTAATTTTATTACACATGTTTTTTGGTTTTATGTATTTATTTGCTTTCAAATTAAGAAAGGAGAATTATCAAAATGGTCTCTTTGTAAGCAGACTTTTTAATTATGAATTTTTCAAAATATAATTTTGCAGTTGTAAATAAAATTAAGTACATGCTATTGCCCTTATTTTTTTGGATAGCAATAAACTGTTTCTATTTGGAAAAAATATGTTACAGTTTACTGATTATAGTCCTCCATTTGAGTGGTAATTATTTCACGTATCGAAACTTTTATCATCGGAACTTTTGTATCTTAAAACTTGATGCCGACTAGAAAGGCAAAGGCAGTTATAACTAGAATCCAATTGCTAGTTTGGACCTCATGTCATAATTTGGCATTCATGTTTTGATGTCTATGAGCTTCGGTAACCACATCAAACTAGGCGGACTTTGAGATCACTCACGCGTTCAAGCAAATAAATAGCAAAAATAAACACAACAGTAACGAAATGTAAAATAGTGATTATTTGTAAGATAAAGAATATTTCATCATAAACACAATATTAAATAAAAAATGGTGCGTGTACAACTTAGTGCACGTGAAAAAAGGGAAACTTCTTTTGTGGTGTGTAGTATTGTGGTATTCTTCATTTTTCATCTTTAAATCAAATTTCCCTATTAATAAGGAATGCTATATATAAGAGAAACTACCTAGCTCACTTTAACCTTTCCCCTCTCTCCACGGTCGAGTGCTTCATGAGACGCTCTGTCTATTTTCTCACCCTCGGTCTTTCTAAATGAGAAATATATGCTGAAAGTTAAAAAAAATTAGCTAAGTTACCATTCAGGCAATATCATTTTGTGGTATTTAATGGCAAGTATATAGTCGTCCTTATAGTCTACATTCTGCTGAAAAGTTTAAATTTAGACCTAAGTTTTGATGGCAATTCGTCTCTTAAACTTAGTTGGGGCGTCTGAATCTAAATCTTTTAGTCAATTTTAATATTTTCATAATGAGTTAGGTTTTTAAATTCTTCTACATGTTTTACGAATCCTTATAGTAGACGATTCTTATAAGTGAGGTCCAATTCAAATATAGAATGAATTTGTTTTTAGTCTTTACAGATAAAGTTGGTTATGAATTTCCTTGCTAGTATCAAAAACACACATGAATGCAAGTAAATTTTCGAGCTAAAAACACAGCTGCAAAGTGGCAACATTTTGATTTTTTTGTCAATTTGTAAAGTGAGTGATGTGTTGAGTACAGACGGATTCCGATTGGGTTTTTCTAAATTTATAACTAAAACGCATCTTTTTTATTCAACATTGTGAGACAATACGTGCATTATGATTATTTTACTTCCTTGACATTAGACATTTTGGAAAGTTTGTGTACTTTAAGAGTTATTTTTAAGAATTCGGTGACATTTCAGTGAAGTGCCTAATTTGATCATGGAGGCTCTAGCAAAACACGATTTTACTGCAACCGCAGATGATGAGCTCAGTTTTAGAAAAAATCAAGTATTAAAAGTAAGTTAGATATTTATTTAACTTTTTGTTTTGTTTAATACCTAGCGATAGTTCTTTCTAGAATGGTTCTTATTGCAGATTCTAAACATGGAGGACGATATGAACTGGTACAGAGCTGAATTAGACGGGAAAGAAGGGCTCATTCCTAGTAATTACATACAAATGAAAAATCACAGGTAAGTGGGATATCTAATATTTCTAGTCTTAAAATTATAACTGACACTTATAACGATTTTAAAATATTCTTAATTAAACTAACCAGTTTATTTTTGACCTAGGTTTTATTTGTGAAAGCAAGAAGATATTGCTCTTGTGTAGCTATATAGAGATCTCAGATAAAATTTAGAAAAAGAATGTTTTCATTTCATTCCAAACATTTGCTGAAGAAAACTGATAATGTAAACATTGTTTGTTTATAATTAAACTTGGGCTGGTCTACTCATTTTTATTTACATTTAACTACTATGGTATCCGGAGAGTGTTGCCAAACCTAATCTACAAAGTCATTTCATTATTCTTTAGAAGAAGAACATACAAAATGAATGTTATTTATAGATACACAACAGAAATTTCATGTAACTTATCAGCTGCCACTAAACTAATCAACAAATGTTTGTTTACATTACCAATTGTAATAATAAAAACTAAAGTGTCTTTAAATATATGAAGTGTATTTTGAAAGGAGAAAACAATATTTGATTTCAAAGTAAATTATAAATTTGGTGTATTTTTATTACACAATTAAGAATTACAAAAAGTGCTTTTTTTATTTGAGTACTAAATTTTATTTCATGATTCTCAAAGAGAAAAGATTTGAATAGATAGAAGGTAGTTATTAAACATATACTAAAGAGAATGGTCTCTTCAACTACAATCTGATTATACATCAGAAATAAACCTGTTTATTTTGTAAGTGCTAATGCTTTGCCAAGCAATAAAATTAATGTGAAGGCTATGCCTGAAGTGATACAAATGCTCCTTTAATTCATAGTGTTGAGTAGTACTATAATATGAATGCATAACATACTACCATGACCACCTAATTTGAGATGTGAGATGCAGTATCAATTGCATTGTGATAATAACTGTCCTAAAGTTCAAACCTAAAGGCACAATTGCTGCAAGACAAATATGGTATACAGAGACACACATACAGTGTATGCTTACAGCATACCTGACCACCAAAAACTACTATTAGTAATAATAGTAATAAAAATTCTAAATATTTGTAGAACATTTACTTATTTTTTGTTTATACCTTACTGGTGTATTGTGTGGTGTATATTGTATCAGCTAGACTGGAAGAGAAATCTAAGCACATCCAGTGCATCGACTTAATGAATTGGATGTCAGAATGAGGTCACAAACCACCTTGTGTCAAGTAGTTACAGGAGCTTATAGATATTACGGTGTAAATTCTCACTATCCACCAGTTTTAAGGATTAAAAACTGTCTTGGGACATATTAAAAAAAACCCATAATTTTTAAGTAATTATTAATTTGAAAATAGTAAGTATTTGTATTTTAAAGGTGTGCCTACATAACCTCTCTTTTTCAGTTGGTATTATGGGCGTATTACAAGAGCAGATGCAGAAAAACTCTTAGCAAACAAACCTGAAGGTGGCTTCTTGATAAGGATCAGCGAATCAAGCCCTGGCGACTTCTCCTTATCAGTCAAGTAAGTCCTTTGTATTTTTACATGTAATGTTTATTATTTTTCACAGTAATAATAATCATTATTTATTATTTCTCTTTTAAAGTTATAGTACAAATACAAATAGAGATTAACCTTACAATTTATTTTGTTAGCCTTTGAAAGAACTGCAGTCTGTACTAGGTTCAAAGACCTGTATTACTGATCTCCAGGCTCCCTGCTTCTTAGGATAGATTAGGCTAGGTTAAGTCATGAACAGATGTCGCAGACTAAGTGTTGAGAGATCATTAGGTGTTATCATTTAAGTAGATATCAGTAGTTATCATTCCAACAGAAGACCGTTCATTATTATTATTTAAATAAACAATTTTATCTGGATGGAATGTTTTCTGTATGTTTGCATGTAAATAACTTAGTGTTTCTCTAAATGTTTTATCAATAGAGTCTATTAGTAATAAAATAAAAAGCTCCCTTATGTAATACTTATAAAACTAATATTGTATGTATATAGTATATTACAGCTTATAACTAAGGGAAAATTGTCTTTGTCTTAACAGAAAAATACATTATAGCAATGCTATCTAAAAATATATATTGGAATCACAATAACATTTACATTTTAAGTTCAGGTGAATGACCAGCATTTGCATCCACGGGTCACTGCAGTATAAATAAAGTAAATGAAGAGTAAAAAGAACCATCTATAGTCTTATGCAATTTAACATTGAAAAACCATTATAAGATAAATGTATTTAGGACGTCAGAAAATGTAATGTGTAAATAAATACTTTGTAAATGTAGTTTTAACCATGTGTGCGAATTCTAAAACTGAGTGAATATTAAAACATTTTATCTATTCATGGAAGGTTGGTCATAAGATAGATAGAGAACTTGATGAATTCAGAATTTTTCTTATCTCAATAATAAGAAAAATACACCATCCGAAATACGTACAAATAAATACATTCCATCCTTATCAAATTTTCTAGAATGACTAAACTTTATTTCCTTCTACAGTCAACAATAAAGTAAAAAAACAAACTATGACAAATACAACACTACTCATTTTACTTGTAAAGCTGTAAAATTTACCTCATATTCATCATGTGAACTAGTTGTGTTGAGTTTCTGTAGGCTTCTGTAATCATTTAACACCAGATGGGCCGTGAATCTGTTCACCCATCTGCTCAGCTAAAATAAATTGTTGTCGTAATAAATAATTGTTGCAAAATTATGTCACAGATCCATTTGGATAGACGGCTCTTTCTGTGTTTGTACTGTGTGTGCTATGGAGATGGATATTTATTGTTTATTTGCATGGACGAACTCACAGCCCTCCTAGAGTTAAGTGGTTACCAGAGCCCATAGACATCTACAACGTAAATGCCCCCCCACTCACCTCGAGACAAGAGTTTCTAAGGTCTCAAGTACAGTTACAACGGCTGCCCCACCCTTCAAACCGAAACGCCTCGCTACTTCACGGCAGAAATTGGTGGGGTGGTGGTATCTACCCGCGCGGGCTCACAAGGGGTTGTACCACCAGTAATTACGCAAATTATAATTTTGCGGGTTTGATTTTTATTACACGATGTTATTCCTTCACCGTGGAAGTCAATCGTGAACATTTGTTGAGTACGTATTTCATTAGAAAAATTGGTACCCGCCTGAGATTCGAACACCGGTGCATCGGTCAACACGAATGCACCGGACGTCTTATCTTTTAGGCCACGACGACTGATAAAATGCTCCTGGCATTGCTGACATCCATGAGTGACGATCTACCTATAAAGTATAAAGTAAATACAATAACATGTAATCGTTTACAAGTCGCAAATTTCTAAACTCGGCTTTTATATTAATGGAAACTAATTTCGAAAGTAAAAAATCTACGCTAAGTTACGAATTCCTACTTATCTACTACAGCAATGAAAATATTTCAATTTTTCAGGCAGTTTGCCTTTACATCACATTATCTATATATTAATACGTGAAGCAAAAATTTTGTATCCCTTTTTACGAAAAATGCGCTGACGGAGGAGGCTGAAATTTTCCACACTTATAGAGGATATAGAGAAGAAGTGCACAATGCTAATATTTTTTAAAAATAATGCGTAAAAGATACATTAAATCAATAAAGAAAACATCACACACACCACATACCATGTATTTGACGCACACACGCATGCATACTATTTATTGTCAAACTTTTGTTCTTGACGTCTGTGGTCAAATTGAGAATAGATTAAATATTGTTTGTCTTTATTAATATTTTTTTATAGTGTAGCCTTGGCAAAGTTTATGATTATAGTATGTGTACAAACTTACAATTCTAGTTAATTATAGTCGAATTTCGACTACTGTGGGACCTCTAGTTCCTTTAAATATATGATCACTATTAATTTACGTATATTAATATCTATTCACAAGATGTCATTTTTGAGTAAATTTTGGAGATAAATGTCAAATTTTCAGGCACTATCATTTTGTTTGAAACTTACATGTTTTATAAACTTTATTCAATGTTCATTTTATGTTTTTGTATTTGACCTTACTATACTTAGTCCGCGTAAAATGTGTAGTAGTTGCCGAACAAAATTGCTATTAAATGCAGACAGACATGACGAAATAATAAAAGCCACGTTTTTTTTGCCAATTGGCTGCCAGAAAAAGTTGTTTCTAATAATGATCAGTGTATCTTCTGATCAAATGGTAACATAAATATTTCCAAACAAGTAGTATTAAGAATAATTTTGCACACCTGTATCGGTGGCGGTACATACCGTTTACAATTTCACACCCACGATACGTTATTGCATCAACACGTGCTGAAGCTGCCTCGAAATTGTTTAGATTTCGTCTGGAAATTTAGTTTAGAGAACTGAATCAATCCATTTAGTCTATTATTGTACATCAGTTTATACATCAGCGCAGGACCCGTCTTTGTGGCGAGGCTTGGGGAGGCCTATGTCCAGCAGTGGACGTCCATGGGCTGATAAGAAGAAGTTTAATCCTTACTGAAAAAGAACTTGTAATTTCTTTTGTCTAACTTTTCTCATGCAACATTGCAATAAATATTTCTAAGAAATACGAAATTGATTCATGTCCACGCTGTTAATATCTTAGTCATATTTTTACACAATATGTAATTTGTGTTAACTATGTAACAATCAATCAATATGTCAGTGTATTTGCTCTTGATACGCAGGCGGGTCCACTCAGGGTTAAGTGATTATCGGAGTCCACATGACATCATAAAGCTAATTCTGTCAAGTTGAGACATGAAGCATGTAAGTCCCACTTTTCGAACAAAGCAAAAGCACACACGGTAGGTAGGTCAGCGGTAGGCAGCGGTTTGGCTTTGCCCCTGGCATTGCTGAAGTCCATGGGAGACGGTAACCACTCACCATCAGGTGGGCCGTATGCTCGTCTGCCTACAAGAGCAATAAAAAAAAACACACCTGTTAGGCGGCAGAAAGCAACAATACTCCTGAATAATTACTGGTGGTAGGACCTCTTGTGAGTCCGCGCGGGTAGGTACCCACCACCCTGCCTATTTCTGCCGTGAAGCAGTAATGCGTTTCGGTTTGAAGAGCGGGGCAGTCGTTGTAACTAACCTTAGAACTGATTGATATCTCAAAGTGGGTGGCGCATTTACGTTGTAGATGTTTATGGGCTCCAATAACCACTTATCACCAGTTGGGCTGTGAGCTCGTCCACCCATCTAAGCAATAAAAAAAAAGGTTTCCAATCCGCGCTGCCAGTATCTACAACTGCAACTTATTACCGCTTATTCGCTAGTTTTTTTTCGGGCCGGGGGGAATTCTCTAGTATCCTAAGAAGCTATTCCAGTTTCACGCNCATTTACGTTGTAGATGTTTATGGGCTCCAATAACCACTTATCACCAGTTGGGCTGTGAGCTCGTCCACCCATCTAAGCAATAAAAAAAAAGGTTTCCAATCCGCGCTGCCAGTATCTACAACTGCAACTTATTACCGCTTATTCGCTAGTTTTTTTTCGGGCCGGGGGGAATTCTCTAGTATCCTAAGAAGCTATTCCAGTTTCACGCGAACGGTTAGGTGAGCTCACGGGCTCAACCTAGCGACTGCTAGTGATGGTTGGGAGACCTGATTAGAATGTCACGTGCTGTATTTTAGCAAAAAATGTCCTTATCGGCGCTACCATATCAAACTTTCCAGTTTTTTTTAAGTTAATTAACCATAACATATCGATTTTATTCAACGGTCTATAATTTTATGACGTTATATTAGCGCACTCCTAACGGAATTTCAATTAATCGATGGCCACAGGCCACAGGTACCACTTCAGGCAATTCGATGCATCCTTGCAGCCCTGGCGAAGAGCCATTAAACAGTAACTGGTCTATGTTACGTGTAAACTATAAACTAACTAACCTGATAGAGCACTATTTTGTCCAGTTAATTGGAAAAATATTACGAGTAGTGAAGATTATTAGTAACTAGCGACCCGCCCTCGCTTCGCTTCGGAAACTGTAATTTATTATTGATTTCTCCACTATTTAATTGATGTTATTATACATATAAACCTACCTCTTCAATCACTCTATCTATTAAAAAAAACCGCATCAAAATCCGTTGCGTAGTTTTAAAGATTTAAGCATACATAGGGATATAGGGACAGAGAAAGCGATTTTGTTTTATACTATGTTTTTTCTTTTTTTTTTTATTGTCTTTGTAGGCAGACGAGCGTACGGCCCACCTGATGGTTAATGGTTACCGTCGCCCATGGACTTCAGCAATGCCAGGAGCAGAGCCAAGTCGCTGCCTACTATATGTAGTGATAATATGGAATAAAAATATTTTTGTTTATTTAATACTTTAAGATTTGAATCACTTAATTTTTAAAATGAATTTGTAGATTAGGTACCATTAATTTCCATAACAACAACCAAACATTAAGATACAATACAATTTCCGCTATCATTAAATATGAAGTGCGAACTTCTTTGTTTTAATGCTGGTTAGCCGCTACAAAACTTATTTCA